CATCAAAGCTGAAGTTTGAGTCCCGATCATGACCACCAGTAGAGATGTTGTTCTTCTCTTTTCTCACCTCTCCATGATTAATCGTCTCTATCACCCTTATCTTCTCAGTCCTGGACCTGGTGGAGCCATCTCTCTTTGAACTGCCACTTTGTTTCTCCTTCTGGCTTATTTTCTTGCTCAAATAAGAATTTCAGTTGTTCTTGATCTCATTATCGGTTCGACTTGGTAATCTTCCCGCAATCAACGACCACCTAGATGATCAGAACATTTAAACAGATCAAATCAAACTCTGCAAAAAAAAAAAAAAACTAANGACTTGGTAATCTTCCCGCAATCAACGACCACCTAGATGATCAGAACATTTAAACAGATCAAATCAAACTCCGCAAAAAAAAAAACTGATATCAAAATAGATTTTAGAATTTGGAGTTGATATATGACCTGTTTCCTAGGAGCTTATGAAGCCTAATGATCAAGTCTTCTTCTTGGTCTGATATACCCTCTCTTAATGTTGGGTGTCAGATAATTCAACCATCTCAGCTTGCAACCCTTACCATATTGATTGAGGCCTGCAGATCATTAATTAAACACTTATCAAACTTAAGATCAGACACAACCTGTAATTCAAGCATCAAAAACCAAGAGAGATTAATTTGTGACAACAACAATTCTACTTTTAACTGCTCAATTCAATTGCAAAAATGAAAAGCAATGAACCAAAATGAACCATGAAGGTGGAATTCAATAGGAGTATAGGACAAATTGAATCAAAACTACTACTTTACTGAATTTGGAACTATACAGAAAGTATGATACCCATATTCAAAAATTTCATTTTCTTTCCCAAAAACTCTTATAATTCACTACAATCCCTCTGATGACCATATTGAGCTTTTATAGGAAAACTTGTACAATCAAGTAAAGATAAACATGAAAAGAGAAATAGAAACTAAAAACCCACTACCTGAAAACATTGTGAAGGAAGTGTTCCTCATGCATCCCCACATTTGATGTCATTTTTTCCTTCCATCCAACACCATACAATTCAATCACCTGTTACCCATTACCGAAATTCATCAAACCACTATAAATAGTTGATATCCAAAAAACCCGGGCTAATAGTTTTTTTTTTCATTTGGGCCTGTCAGGCATTTTTACCCCCCCAATCACATGAATTAATGCATATACAAATATTATGGAATTTAAAAC